GCGCGCACCGTACGCACACACCGCGCGCACCGTACGCACACACCGCGCACACTGTACGCACACACCGCGCTCACTGTACGCACACACCGCGCGCAGTGTACGCACATGCCGCGCGGACTGCGCGCACACACCGCGCCCACTGCACGCACGCATCGCGGGCACTGTACGCACACACCGCACGCACTGTACGCACGCAGCGCGCGCACTGTACGCACACTCCGCGCGCAGCAAACGCACAGACAAAAACGCCGACTGCACAAGCATATTCTCCCCTACGTCCAAGCCTTCCATAAACCCTATCCCAGAAGCGTATTAGATTAAGCTAAATATATATATATATATATTATGAAAAAATTAAAAGAAATAATTTGTAATGTCTTAAATATGAACCTCCGCAGGCACATGCCTCGCACCAGGTTCTTAAACTTCATGAAGTGAACATGCGCTGACTTGGAGGGTTCATGAGCTGTCATAGTCGCATGGGTCAAGCACTCACAGAACAAGAAGCCTTAAGCTCCCGAATATGAGGCCCTGGAAAATTCGACTAGGGTTGAGGGCATGTTATACTACACTTAGAACAAGCAACCCCCAAAATACCATTGATAATTAGTTTGGCCCCTAGTAAGCAGCCTCATCTCGTCACATCAATGAACTGCTGCGCCGAGTGCGACAGCGATACAATCCAAAAGCGCGGTGAATCGTCCTTCCTACCAACAGGCCAATGAGTCTGCGATCGCGGCAGTGGAGCGATTCTGCCCCTTGTCACCACGCCGTTTTCACGGTTCAGGATTCTCCTGAACAGGCTAAGGGTTTTCCGATGTTTTAGGGAGATCGAACTTGCCATCTTGATTACCGTGATATGCCTCGCCAGAAACGCAGGACTCAGCAGAAGGTTCGTGCCTCAATAGCCTAGCACACCTGTCTGCTTATCAGGATGTTTCCACTTTCTGTTCTACCAGTAGGTTTCTAGATCTGGATGTATCTGTGCGTTTCCACACGGACTGACGCCATTCGCCACGCACTGACACATACATCTGCGGACTGCATACCCTAGAAGAAATAGATAACAAATAATATGTGTATATATATATACACCACATGTCAGCATGCATACACACATGTCTGTGGAACCCTTTAGAAGTTCATGGCGAAAGGAACGGGGGATCTAAACACATCGACCGGTACATGTGAACGCGCCATAGTTGCTTGCGACGTGGGCAGTTCCTCCATTCCCAAGCCACAAAACCAGGTAGAGGACGGTACAGCACGAGCAGACTTGTTGGTGGCTTCTTTCCTCCTGGAAAAGTTTTGCTAGACTCTGCGAGACATGCCAGGCAACTGGAACTTTATGTCCGTTGTGGCATCGGCGAGCCAGGACACTTCATCCGAGTGAGGTTGTACGTCTTGTGTGTTTGTGGACCTGGGCCTGCAGATGGCATGCATCAGGTTTGTAAGCAAGTTCGACGGCTTCGTGGTGATATTTTGTGTTGCACAACTTTTTCCAAGATTGGGATGTTCGAGAGTATCGAAGCAAAAGTTGTGAGAACAGGCCTGGCTTCTCAATCCCGTCTAGAGGTTGTAAGATCTAGATGCTGCCATTCCGACTGCTGCCTAGAATTCCGGAGCCACATGGCCCACTTATGTATACACATATTAAGCCGCACTTGCGAGGACGCATTCAGTGACCAGGTGCAGATTCTGTTGGGCCCTTCTTGTGCGATCGCGCTGTGTGCGTATTCTGCTGTGAAGCCCCAAGTGCCGGGACCAATCATGCTAGTCGTTCCGGTTGTACGAAGTGAAGTCATATTTTGTGCATGCATAGAAGCTAGGACGAATGTTGCATGCCAGGTGGGACGACCTGCACCTTGCAGGGAGGTGCTACTGTCACTGGCCCAGGACGGGGCACGGGAGAAGAGGCCGCTTAGATCACGCAGCATAATCCTCAGACCATGCAGTCACCCAGCAATGCAGGTTATGACTTCGTTGCAGGTAAAAAGGGTGTGGAAAAGCCGCGCCGAAAGGGTAGAAGATCCACCAAAATCATCGTGGTCGGTGGCATCAACAGGAAATAGAAACGAGAAAACCAAGGTGCTAATCCCACTTGCAACTCTGCCCGTAAAAGCACCTACCATGGAAAGAACGAGTTGCGGCCGAAGTAGTACTAGTAGTCATTTCCGTCGTTGCCGCGGCGGCGGTGGTAGTGGTTGTGCCAGCAACTACCAGCAGCAATACTTGTCATAGTGGTGGTAGCTGTAGTAGTCGTCGTCGTAGTCGTAGTCGTAGTAGTCGTAATAGTAGTAGCCGCAGCAGCAGTATTGGTAGTGGTAGTAGTTATTATCGTAGTGGTAGTAGGTAGTATGTAGTGTATGTCGTAGGTGTAATCAGCCGTAGGTAGTGACTAGTCATTCCTTCCAACTGGGCCCTGGCATTGAAGCTAGCAGTCATTTGAGTGGTGTGGTACTTTAGTACTAGTAGCAGTTGTAGCGGTAGCAGTAGCAGTAACAGTAGTGATCGTCGTCGTCGCCATTCTTGTGCTAGTGCCAGCGTACCACCACTAGTACTCGCACTGGCAGGGGCAGGAGAAGGATCAGCGGTTCTCGACAGCCAGAAGCTAGCGGTGAACCGCACCTGCACCCATCGAAATCAAAAGACACCTTAAGACTGTCCTCGACGATGTCAGGCTGTCCGTCGGTTTCATCTGACAAGATCTGACAGCTGAATGCATTCGTTTTTCGAATTTCGGAGGCACTTTCTGCAGACTTTGGCGCCAAAATCGCCTTGGCCACTGGTGGCCAACGAACCCCGGCGTCTGCTCTCCTTGGACGACCAGCCTCTCGGCTATCGCCTTGAGCCTTGAGAGGTCGGGGTTGCGGAGGAGCTACCTGGCCCTACTGAGTGTTGCGAATGCAGTAACTGGAAATGTTAGTTAGTGTACTTGCTAGCTTCTACGGATGAGACGTCTACAGAGACTACGACGATTTCGTGGTCAACTTCGCTGCTGGTGCTGCTGCTGCTGAAACCACCGCTTCTGCTGATGCCACTGCTATTGGCTGCCGCTGCGAGCACCGTGAGTGCCCCCCCGATGCTAGTCCTGGCATCTGCGGGAGAGTCATGCGGCTTCACCATGTTGTGCGGATTCATGCAGACCTACCGGAAGGCGTTGTTTGGTTTCACCCTTCGCTTCGGAATTGATTCAATGACTCCAGACCCCCAGTGCCCCGAGCTCCGCACCCTAAATCCTAAGCCAAGAAGGATGAATGCCGGCTTGATTCTGGCAGCATGGAAAGACCTGGGTAGCTCGGCTTTGCAGATAGTTGGGTTTACGGTTTAGGGTTCTGCAAGCACAGTCCGAAAGCCCAGTGGCAGGAGACTCCAAAGCGCTGTGCACTGAATCTGACATAGGCTTCAACGAGCTGGACAACCCCGGCAGCACGCACACCCTTGCAAGTGATGGTGAATGGGATGTTTGCATCCCAGCTCTTCAACTAGCGACGGGTCTAGTGTTCACTGGGGCCGCAACGCTGTACGATCCATGCCTCACGTACATCAGGGGTGTCGAAGCTGTCGAGGTGCTATGGAGTTTGATGCCCCAACACGGCCGGTCTGTTGATTTGCCCCATGGCCGCAGAAGCTTGTCGAAGAGTGCTCTGACTTGGCATGTACCAGAGAATCCTGAAAGCATCTTCACACCGTAAACGGCTTGCAGTAGTTTTGCTTTAGATGCCCTTTCCCACTAAACCCTTGAATGTTCGCCTGCCAAGGGCTCCATTCCTGGGCGTCCCCATAGATTGGTCTTTCTACCGTGCCTTGCTTCCAAGATGAGAGAAGGTGTGTCGTGAGCAACTAGCTGATTTTTGTCGTTTCTACACAGTTCCATACCAGTAGAGGACTCGAACATGCATGCCGCAAAGATTGCCTTTTGTATCCCAGCGATTCAGACCGTTCCTTGAATCGGTTTGCCCCTGCCAACCGAGCACGTTTGTGGCAGGTGGAGCTGCAGAGATCTGCACACGCATGGTGAAGCACATGTTGATGTTCACGTTTCAGTTTTCGAAACCGCAGATCAGAGGCAGCCGTAGCCTCCCCTTCAGTCATCTCCAGTCCGAATCCTAAAGACCGAAACCCCATGCAAGATCGTCAGGATCCCATATGCCCACGTGGGACTTCGCACGGGCCCGCGCTTATCAGATTCACAACCACTGCCACGTGTTTGCACCGGAGAAACAGCTTCTGGAGTTCCAACGGGCCTGGATTTCTGATTCTGACAGCAGGCCAGTTCTTGAGAGTAGTGGGAAACGATTTCCGAGAAAGAGCAACTGTCTTCCTCCCTGCGCGAGCTTCGTGCGAGGGTATATGTGGTTCCCATGCGAATGCAGCTGTGAACATTGTCGTCTCAGAGAGATTGCCGACTGCAGAGAGCCCAAATGCTGAAGGCTTCACCTTCCACGGCGCCCCGGTGGGTCCGAACCTCTGAGTTGAGTCAGAGAGTTTGCGGCCTCCGGTTGCGGGGAGTCGGAGCTACCGTTCGCGATTGTAAGGAAGAGTACTATCTCGAGTGGATAGTGCCTTCCGAGTTCTTGGCATCTTAGGAAGCATCACTTGGCGATCAGCCTTCGAAAGCTGAGGCGCGGCAGCAGCAGAAACATCTCTGTGAGTTCTCTCAAAGTCTTGAAGTCATTCCTACACGCGGCGTCGGATCATAAAAGAAAAGCGGCGTGCAGGAGCAGAATCGGCTTTTTGTTTCTGCATCCCTTGCGGTCAGTTCGCCGTGCCTAGATGAGGGATCACTTGGCGGCATCGGGCTCCAGTCTCCGTGCCGACCCAGAAACTCGGCTTGCTTGTGGGAGGCGTCTTCAAGTTATAGTGCCCAGAACCAGAAAGGTTATTCACATGCTATCCAAGGAAGATGAATGTGTCGCGGGGCTCTGCTTCCCGGAGAGCTCTCCGGCTAACTTTAAACTGGTATTCCTGCCCCAATGGCCCAATGAGTGCTGTATGAAGTTCTTTGGACCAGGACAAGCTGGTGCTTCTACTGGCCAGCACTACATTATGTGAAACCAACTATAGCCTCCAAGCACGGCCAGGCCATGATGCACCATTAGAGTTACTGACACCGTGGCAGTCGTCGCAGCGGGATAGACCTCTAGATGGGAACCCACCGAAGCAAGGATGCCTGCAGCAAAAACTGAACGGTCGAAGATGACAAATCCGAGACACCAGGCTACGTCGTCATGGTGGGTAGCAAGGGGCTGGATGAAGCCGAGACGGTGACGAAGAAGCTTTCAGAAAAGAAGGAGATGGCCTCTCGGCTGTGTTCGAAGCTCGTTCAGCTCCCCACGAACCTGCCACAACAAGCCTGCTCCTGCAGCTACTACCACTACAACCACTAAGAAAGACGACGACGATGACGACTACGACAACAACCACCACCACCACCACGACTACTACTACTACTACTGCTACTACTACTACTACTACTACTACTACTACTACTGCTACTACTACTACTACTACTACTACTACTGTGCAACGTTGCTGCTACCACTGCGACAACTTCGGCTGGAATGGTAAGGAAGAAGAGCCATGCTAATAGTTATTGATAGCATTAGTAGCAGGATTAGTATCAGTACTTGCACCTGCATGACATGATTCTCAGGCCTGTCTCCCTTTGGCTGCCCAGGTGGCCAAAGCGTGTCACTCCTCTGGGGGCCGCAGCATTACGATCCGTGTCTACATTAGGGCCCCATTTTTGGGATGCCCTTTATAAGGGTGCCGTACTAATTTGGGGACCTAGAAGGGGACCCTAATTTAGAGAGCTACCCATCTAGCTTGAAGATCTATAAAGCTGGTTAGACCATGAGGGGTACTTACCTGGACACGTCTGGCTGTGTGGTTAAGTTCTGCAGACCTTCGATGTCAAGTGACTTGCCCCGTGACAACCTTCGCATCAGATCGTGAGGATACTGCGATCTCCGGGTGATCTGTCGAACCTTCTCGCTCGAGCAGGTCACGGCACAATGCTTCCTGCTTGACTAAGAGACCATTGCTTGATGAGGGCAGGTTCTCCCGATGTTTGTACGGATCGCCTAACAGTTTTGTGGAACTTTCGTTCAGGGACAGCTGCTAGCTGCCTGCAGGTCGCAAAACCAGGCGAGTCACACGAGGTTCGAGCCATCCATCACGTCGCTTTAGCCGGGGCGGTGTTTGCACAGTCTAGCAGAAGACTACCCCTGATGTTCCGGGCTCCTGACGACAGCAATCGTGATACTTGGGCAGGGATGATGAGCCATTGATCCATCTTCGGAATTCTCTTCTTTTGCTCCACTAGTCCCACTAGGCATCTGCCTTCTGCAGCCATTTTCCTCGGGACGAGCCCGAGGTTCCTGGTGCAGCGGCGCATCCAGTCTCCGCTGATTGAGGGCCGCCGCTTCCACTTCCGGCTGTATGCAAGGCTCACGTCGCTTCACCCTTTGCGAGCACCTGTGCTGCACTCTACAGCCCTACGGTTTTGCGGAATCGGAATCGAAGGTTACAGTTCTCAAAGAGTAGCCTCGGCAAGTGCGAGCATTAAGGCGCTTCTGCTTCAGCTTTGCAAAGTGGCGTTTCTCCTAAGAGTGTGACAAGTCGATGATTTTCGAGCTGCACCTGGAAATAGCCGCGGAAGGTGTATGTCCACCACGACGACAATGATGGAGGCTATGCCGTTCTCGCAAGAAAAGCTGCTTCCTCGTCTCCGCATGCAGAAAGCGAGAAGCTTGTCGAGAGAGGCTCTTGTTATTTGTCTTGCATTTATGACGACTCAGCAACCCACACCTCTGCTCTTATTTGCTGACTTCCTGGACCTGCACCGATGAAACTCTACTTGGAGTGTTGGATCATGCCAGCTGAGAACCTCACGGCACAGGCTTTTCTGGTGGGAGTTGTCAGCTGGACCGTAAAACAGCGAAGGCAGAAGGTAAGAAAAGTGCTGGCCAAACGAAGGCAAACCGTTTGCAGGCTAGTGCCTTCAACCCTCTCTGTTGGACTTGTTGTCTTTCTTGTTGTGATTGCTGCGGTTCGGCAGCTGCTGTGTCTGCCTTACCTGAAAACCTCCCGAGTCGAATGGATCTTGCGACGGCAGAGATGTTCCGATCAACCCATTCAGTTTCTTTTTCGACTCGTGCTGCCCAGGTTCTCATGCATCTGGGGTTTGCACGCCGCAGCAAGACGAGGAGCTCGCGAACTAGAAGGTTGAATATGAACCATACCTCGCACATTCAGCTTCATCTAAACCTCAAGGCCGAAACCCCTAAACTCCCTAGAAGATCAGGTTACAAGATAGATCATAAACCCGAAACCCTAAACCCAAGCCGGCTACTCCATGGATCTTCCAAGCTTAAGTTGCTTTCGGGACGCTTGGCCTGGGCCCAAAATCACATAGAATCTTGAATTATTCCTAGATGTGATTCCTTCGGGCTCCTTGCGATAAATAGGGTATAGCATCACCCCCCAATCCTTATCCTATTTGCCGTCTACAGTCCCTACGGCAACTTTCTCCACAATCCTGTTTCATGCTTGCAACTGTCAAAGCAGCAAGAAGCCTTGGCTTGCTGAGAGGGTGTCCACGGCCCAAAACCTCCCGAAAAGACCCCTTGCGGTCGCAGCGGCAGCTCGGCGCGGCGGTGCTCCGTTTTGTCCTGCACGCGTGTGTTGTTGTTGTTTCAGGAGTTTGTGACGAACTATGGCGATCGGCAGATCTCCCAGGGCGAGCCTTTTGCCTCGAAATACTTGCAAGGGAATTTGCCTGTGGGTGTGAGAAGGATTTCTGCTTGAACGCAGCAGACTTCACCGCGACTTTGGGTCAGGTCGGTGTTGGCAGGGCAAGGCTGGAGGGAGGTAGGGTATTTTGCCCTCCACTCAGGTTTACCAGGCTTTATCGGAATCTTACTGGTGCCGATCCAGATGCTTTGCTTCGTCGCCCCTCAACTGCCAACGGAGATATATGGAGACAGTTATTGCGCTGATACCACGGCCCACCAAGAGATGTTATCAGGAGCAGCTTGGTTGGGCGGGCGCTGCTGCTTTTTGCCCACAACCCGAGCTTTATGTTATTCAGACTTCAGTGCGCAGCAACTGTAAGCCAGATAGGATGCCAACCACAATGTCGGTTCTTGGTCTCGTTTGTGACAAAAGGAATGCACCACAGCATCGTGGTGATGCTTTTCGCGGCCGGCCACCACAGCCGGCATTCCGACCTCTTCAGGAGACTGCAGTCCCTACTTGGAGGAGAGCCTCAGCCTTCATCGCAGGTAGATTTTTTCGACTCTGGTGGTTGGGCAACGAGGGCTTGTGCTGGAGGAGAGCTGACAAGGAGGGAGAGGCGCAGATAGAGAGAGAGAGAGAGAGAGTCCCTGCGAAGTGCTTTGGCCGGTGTCCGTTGCTTCTTGAAGCAGTAGCTAAATCTAGTTTTCACATCCCCCCAAAGGCCCTAACCCACAAGCCATTGGCCCAGGGGACCTGACACAGATTTGGGGCCCGACGTGTTTGCGATGCCCGAGAGAAGAAGGAAAGACATGACATATCTTTTTGAGCTTCCACTCTTTTGTACCGCAACGGCCCCGCAATGTTTGCAAATTCTGTGGGCAGGACCCTGAGGCTCCATGCAAAGCGTTTGATACGAAATGTCCCTGTTCCGAGGCGCGATGCTTCGAGATCCTGGGCGTGGACTTCCTCTTTGAGGAGTACGAGGACGTCCCGACACAGCGGAAGAGAGTGACTAACGACAGACTATGCGCGCAGTAGCGGTCTAGGGTCGACAGCAAGGCAAGCACAGTTATGCACAGGTGCTTCTACCGTCAGGAGATGCGCGATGGCCAACCCCACATTGCTTGGGCTCCGCCCTTTGGATTTCCAGGCATATAGCGCTTAGGGTTTTGGTCTAGGGCTCTAGCAGCAAGGTGAACGACTGTAGGGGTAGGCGTCGGCAATAAACGGTTGGATGCCGTCAAAGCTGTGTATCGCGCTGAGTGGCGCAAGCACCAGACTGAGGTACCTCGTGGACGTGACCCCTTCGCCAGGATACGGGAGGCCTGCGGCAAGATGGAGAGGTAGCAGCTCTTGCAGCCCTAGCCATTCCTCTGCAGGCATTTGCGCAGAGACTTTAAGCAAATCAAGTTGCTCACTTTGCAGATGCTACATGAGAGCAGAGGACGAACACGACAACGGTCCTCATGCGCCCCATCAGTGCAGTAGCGAGCGCTGTCAGCGGTTCATCGAGCTGTCTTTCTCAGGCCCCTCGGCACTCAACCCACCGATTATGTACTGCCTTCGTTCGACAACAAATACTGAGCTGTATAGGTCGTTGCAACTTGACAAGCTGTTGACAGCCCAGCGGCCCAGCGCTACCTTGTGCTGCCGCGAAACATGAGAGGTGCGCACTGCATGGGTGCCCCCTACGGTCATGACTGCGATAAGTGACTCTGGACACCTGCGTTTGCAGAAGGCCTTCGGTGGCCTCGTCGCACCGCCTTCTGCGCGACTTCTTCCGAACCTTCGTGGCAAGGCTGCAAGGCGTTCCGGATAAAGTTCGGAATGACTGCAGCTTCAGGGCTTCAAGTGGATGATGAGTTTGGGGACCAGAGGCGCATCGACCCTTGTACTGCGTGGATGCGACTGGGGCATGCCGGGCCAAGGTGACTGGTGATCCTGACCCAGAGCTGCAGCGTCCTGCCTCCAACAATGCAACCGACGCTGAGGAGGAGGACAAATGGCAGGCACGGCTTGGGACAAAGGTCGTAGATTTTCGGTGCTGAGCTGCGTCACGCCTTTTCGACCTTTGCGGATACTTCTCCGTCATTCGGCAATGGCACGTGTAGATGTGGTGTGAATGTATTGCAGGTTGTGTCAGAGAAGGCGGCCTCTTTGGGCTTGGAGCTGAGACCGGAGGCCACCATGCCACTTGTAGCAAGAACTTCAATTCCAATTACTCTCCAAGGGTGGCGGCTCAGATAAATGGCCAGTGTTCTTCGTTCAGATTTTAACCACATCTTACCGCAAGCTTCCAGCATCCGATCGTTCGCTGCTAGCGTCTCGTGCCTCAGCATCGTCGTGCTTTACCAGCAGCTGCTTCCCAGTGAGGTCGGAAAGAGGTTCCATTCAGGCCTTGCAAACGTCAACCCCAACACACAGGCTCTTTCGGAGTTCGTAGATAGAAGCACAGCGATGGAATCTACCGCGGCTCAGATTCGACGCTCGAACTGAAATTGCAAATACTCGACCTTTTTCACAGTGATGAACCCAAACCCTAACTTTTAAACCCCCAAATCAACTCCTTCGTCGCGATCATTTCAACATGCCTCACCGTTGTGAGTCGAAACCCTAAGCCCCTGAGCCCTCATAAACTTGAGGCCCCTGGGCCCTGCGCTCCCACTCCCTGTTAGCCCTAAACCCGTGAACCCTAACCCTAAGGAGTCACCCTAAACCCTGTGACATCCAACTCACAAAGATTATATGGGGGTTTCCGAAGAGAGGGGGTTCTTATAGTAAGGATCCTACTATTTGGGTACTATATTAATTAGGGTCCTCTATTTTCGGAAACCCCCATATCGCCTGGACCCTCCACCGCTCTCCTTTTCCAGGATCGGCCCCTCGTCCGACGCCTTGACGTCGAGGCAGACTCTCGCAGGCACCCCGAAGTGTCTTTAGCCCCAGGCCTTTTCGAATGCTGGTCGCGTGGGATCTAGCAGGGTTGGGTATGGGAGTTTCTGAACATTCGGGTGCTCACAACATGGATCCCAGCATTTGAGTCTTCTTTCTTGGGTTCCCCTCATTTTCTGAAGCTGTCCCAGGTGGTGTCGCCTCTTTCCACCAGCAAGGCCTAGTCGGGAATTCAGCAGTACCGTAAAGGTGCCAAAAGGGCCTTAGAGGGGGAGTCTCCCACGTGTTTTGGGTTCTAGGGTTGGTCCTAGCAGCTCGTGTTTAGCCCTCATGCCATTTTTCTGAAGAGCTGCGCTCAGAAGTAGCGTATACGTTCAGTCTGCAGCACAGAAACCTATCCATCTGTGTGGGATCCTGCGTTTGTGCGTGTGCACGCGTGCCTGCGTCTATGAAGCGTCCATGCATGATTGCAAGCTCATGGAGGGGCGCATCTCCCCAGACTGCCAGGGATGGTCTTCTGGGCTTGAGCTTCAATTACATGCCGCTCTTTGCCAGTGGGCCGACCCGTGAGGACAGGGTTATGGGCTATTGACAGCACACGGACACACGGATTGCTGATCTCGCACCAACATGTGTCCCAGAAATTCCATTTGACCGCAGGTCCACATTGAAGTGTGTCTAGGCGCATACCAGTTCAGCGTTCACGTCTGAGATGTTGAACCCACGCTCCAGGATTTTAGTCCCAAGCCACTAGAGGATAGAAGAGATCTGCTGCAGCCTTGGTGTAGGACACGTTGTCCATGCTATGGGCTGGTGTGCCGCCAGAGGACCTTCAAGCGAGAGGCCGCTAAGAAGCTCTTGAAAAAGTTAGTGGCAAGAGCTCCAACAGACTAAGAGCTTTGCAGATTATGGCATCTTGCCACTGCATCGCTGGGACCTCTTAGCGCCTTCGCACTTTCCCAAAATTCAGCACTGGCAAGAACGATGAGAGGCTCACCTCACCCTCTCCCTATATGCAATGCAGAGTGTGCAAGGCGACTTCCAGAAACCCGTCCACCTTGCGGACAAGGTGCTAAACTGCTGCTTGGTCCTGGCACAGTCCGAGAGTGAGCGTCGAAGAAATCAGCCGTACGTTCTGAGCATGTTCCCTTTTTGCTTTCGCACCCTTCTGATGGCACCGCCACGTCCTGATCCCCATTTTCTGTTCGTGCGCGAAATGGGGTTCCTATGGCCATTTCCAGCGGAGGCTTCTTCGAGCGGGTCGGTGGACATGGCATTTCGCCAAGTGAGGACCGGGTCAGAATTGACAACTTCAATTCCGAGTTGTGGTGGGTTCGTCTCACGGCTCACGGATTCGTTAACCTCGACACTGCAGTTCAGGTGACTTGATGTTGTCGAGTTTCGGTTTGGGCCGGAAGTGGATGCATCCGCTTGCATGCTGTGAAGGATTCTAGGTGATGTGATGTTCGCTCACGCGGGGATGTTGGGAATTTCTGGCCTCCGATGTTTGGGAGGAGTTCGTCTTAACGGAGGGCCTCACCAGGATTGCCATGGCTTCAGATGCAGACTTGCTCCTCAACTGATCCGGGAAGAACCACACATGCTCTCATCTGAATGGTGCAGCGGTGAACTCTTCAAACTGGGGTGCTCAGGTCGCGTCTTCCGGATTCTGCTTCACAGACCTGCCAAGTCAAACCGCCGCTCAGGTCGAAGCCGGGAGGGCAGCAGGTCATCAGCAACGTCCCTGCCTTCCTTGCAACCCGCCTTAGAGATTGTTCAGTCACCCCATGCGGCGTCGCTGGCAGAAAGCACCGGCAGGAAGCATCAACTTCAGCAGTGCTGGCGAAGTGCTTGGGTGAAACCCTGAACCTGAGGTCAATTTCTTCAGTTCCGGCTGTGCCCAAAGTCAAGTGAAGCTGCCCGCGTTAATGCGGCTGCTGGCATAGCGTTCAAAAATTCTAGGCGATCCGACAGGGGCTCAGCGACACAGAAGCTTTTGTCAAGCAAGGTTGCAAGAGATGTTTCCACGATGATTCTGGCTGTTTGGCCCGAAGCCCTGCACCGTGATCAGAACCTTTATGGGACGACGTCCGGGTCCATGAAGTGGCACCTGAACCAGAACGAGTGCAACAGGTGTGCTGTGGCGCATGTTGCGCGAATCAGGCTCTTGCTACTGTACTGTAATCATATTTCTTCCGCTTGCTGGGCACTTGGACCCATCGGCATGGGTTGGGGGTCAGTATGCCGAGCTTGGACTTTGGTAGATGACGTGGCAATTCACCTGTTCGCGTGCAGTTTCGGTTCAAGCAGTTCCCGGCCTAAGCCAATCATATTTTGTGATCCTCTCGCGATGCACTACGCGACTCGGGACGGCACTCGCGAAACAACTCTCAAGCTCGAGGCGTTGTTGTTGAGGCTGTCGAAATGGTTGGGGCGGGGGCTCTTGCTCCTGAGTGTGATGCGCGTTCCCCTCAACCTGTGGGCCCTTCAAATGGAGCCCGCCACAGACTGGGTGGAGTTCTTCTATGGCAGCAGCCCTTTTGGCCCCCAGGCCATGGCTACCCTGGACCTGGTCTTGGTGCGGCCGCTGGTTTGTGCTGCCGGCCTGTGCTTCTGGCTGTGGCGCTTCAAAGAGATGCACCCCAAGCTGGTTATCAATAGCCTCGGTTCTCTTACCCTCTTGGCCCTCTGCTCCTCCCTGGTCGAGTTCTGGCTGGGCAGTGGCTGGGGACTGCCCTTTTTCGCCTTAGTCGGTGGCGAGAATGCCCTGGTACCGGCAAACCTCGCCCCCTTCTGCGCCGCCTGGTTCTGGGGGACGCGCGGAGGCCTCGCCTGGTTCACGATGACTAAGCTGGTCTTGCTCGGGTGGCCTTTGACGGGCGGGTTTGCATTCTTTGGGGCCATGTTCTGGATCTTCCTTCAATGGCTCCTGCAGGTCGGGAATGTTCACAGCCACCTGGTGACGTTTGGCATGTGGGTCCTGCTTGGTCTGTTGGTGCTGATGGGGGTCCTCCCGCTCTTTCTCGAGGCGCACAAGAAGTCGCGGCAGGTCAAGGATTTGAGTGGCAAGGACCAGCAGATGACAAAGAGCACGCAGAGGGCCGTGCAGTCTCTGCGCCGGGGCGGTGTCCTCCTCGTGGTGAGCCCTCTACTGGCGGCATGCATCACCACAGAGTGGCCTTCCTTGGGCAGGCCCTTCGAAGGGCATTTCTGGCTCATGACCATAGACCACTTGGTGTTGCTGATGGCCACCCTTGTGCTCGGTGGGGTGGTTGACCCGGCAGGCTCGCAGCACCAGGACTGGAATTTGATCAGGGGTGGTTGTCTGCGCCGACGGCGACGGTCTGCTGATTGAGCTGCAATGATGACCTAAGTGTCAGTTACGGCCCTTAGTCTGCGGTATAGTCCCCCGCCTCCATAGTTGCAGTCTTCCAAGTGGTCTGTGAAGATGTTGCACAGGGGCATTATCTCACCCTGAGGACGAGGCTCTCGAAGAGTTGGGCTTCATGGGCCACAACCAAGGCAAACGCATTGCCTTCCCGGGACGGGTGAATCGAAGGTCCAAGCACTGCATCGTGAGCTTCCCGGGCAAATATGCAGGGGTGCCTGGGCTGCTCACGCACCACACATATTGAACTTTTCGGAGACCTGGATTGGTCGAAAGGGTTGAAACTTTGACTTGCTAGGAATTTGGATGGGTCAACAAGCAGACCTTACGTACAGGAAATATACTACATACATTACATTACATCACTTACATGACATACATAACATGCATGCATTACAAACATTTCTTTCCCTCGAGACATACATACATACATACATACTTTGCATCCCAGGAGTGGGACGCGGCAGTGCGGAAGGTAAAGCTCCAGGAGAGGGCACCGAGCCTCGCATGCGTCTTCCTAACGGACAAGGCTTCGGGTCTCGGGGAGCACAGCGGTCCTCCGGGCCAGTGCTGGTGCCGCGCCTCGGCTGCAGTGCGCTGACGGCTTCAGGGGTAGTTTGCTGGGCTCACAGTTTCTCTGTTTCTCTTGGCCAGCAAAAAGTTGACGGCTGGTGATTTCATGAGGGCCAACTTGTCACAAAATCAGTCATGAGGATTTCTCTATGGGCAGATGCCGGCCTCCGCATATTTGAGCATTGTGGAGGATGCCTCCAGCCTGTCCACCGAGCAGCTCCGGTTCCGGCAGGAGGACGCAAAGGCCATGGGCCAATTTCTTCTGGTGCGTGACAGAGAGGATGACGAGCAGTGGGCTGTTGCAAAGCACAACGCGCTGCGGGAGGCGGAGGAACAGTGCCAGAAGAACCAAGGCTTGGCACCCTGGGGCTGTGAGTGGTTCGCAGCGTGGAAGAAGAATGTGGCGGAGGCAATGCCACTTGGCAAGCTGGGCTCCTGCAAGGTGTTTTTTCAGGTGGCTTTTTTTATAGGGAATTCGGGTGGAGCAGCGTTACTGGCGGTCCATGTGCGCCTTGTTTTCTTGTTTGAGGTCCCTAGGGCAGACCCTTCACGTGTTCTACTTCGAAAACCGCGTGGGACAAGGCAAGCTCTCCTGGCAGGATCTCTGCGACGAGGCCAAGCTCAGGCAAGCACGTGAATCCAGTGGGCTCGGGGCCTCGCAGACCGCGGAGGTGGCCTATTTGGACAACATCGGCGCCGACTTTGTAGAACACGATGTTACTGATTTTTATTCTTTCATGGAACAGCACCGAGAAGCCACTGAGCTTCACGATCTCCCAACGGAGACTGCGTAGAGGTGCGATCTTCCTGAAACAGCACCAAGAAGCCGAATGGCTTCACGGATGCCTGCATAGATGACCTTGCCCTTCCTCCGAGGTGTTTACGCATGAAGGAAATATAGGGATTTCCACAGATTCGAATCGGTTTTGGGCAGAATTACACATATATATATATATACACAAAGAAAGAAATAAATATATAATGTATATATTCAAAGATACTTGATATAGACCTACATGTACACCCGCACATACTTTTATTATATATACCATTATATATAATATCATGTTGCAAAATTTAAAAGAAATTCCACTTTGTATTTGTTCCACTCAGGGGAGTGGGGGACTTCATTATAGAATAAGATAATTGGATTGATGCATATGATTTTTGATGGATGAATAATAATATTGGATGATTATATTCTTTAGATAGGGATCGTAATGATCTTTTATTTCTTGAAGATAAAAAAAATTATGGAATTATCGGTCACATTATATTAGATTAGAAAATAGAAGGCGAATTATTCATATTAATGGATAGATTTTGCGAGACTATATAATATCTACTAAGATGAATAATGGATTAATTATATATTTGATTCAATAATATTTTCATGATTTTTTTTTAAATAATATCTATTAAGATATGTCGTCGATAAGATAATATTATTTGATTAATTGTATTCTAAAGGTTCTATATTTGATAAGGAATAGAGGATATGGTCGGATTACGAGAATAAAATATATAATTGAATTGAATATCTAACAATTATCTGATTTCGGAGCTAGAATCGATTATTTTCCGGAGTAAGGCTAATTATTGGAGTATTCTCTGAAATTTATTTATATTTTGCGAATCTATTTTTTTCAAATTAGATGATGAGAATATGAATATTGAGTATTTATATATTTATTATATATATTATATATAAATGATATATGTTATTTATTATCGATAGATATTTTATAGTCTCTATTCTGAGATTCTCTGTATAAAAATTCTTCTATAAGAAGTCTTAGAATAATTTCTTTATGATAATTTCTGAAGAATTTTCATATAATAATATTTCTATTATAATTTTCTTCTTGTATTTTATTCTTTCTAATTTCTCTATAAATTTTCATTGATTTCTGGATGATAGGGAAGAAAGGAAAAAAATATTAATTAATTTTCAAGGGATCGTATTTATAGAATCCCAAATTAAAGAAAATTAAAAATTAAATTTTAATATATTCTTGGAAGAAAGTTGCTCGCCTCCACCAATATTAAAAGGCATGAATAAATTAAAAGAAATTCTGTTGATATTTCAGAAATAATATAATAAAAGATATATTGGGAAGAATCATTTTATTAAGATTTATTTTTAATTTATGATTATTAAGAATTCACGAGAAATAGAAAAATTTTCTGAGGTAATTTGGTTGGATTCATATCGGAAGATATATGCGATATAATTTATATACGAATCTCATCTATAAGATTCTGATAATTTTGATTCAATATTTAATAGAAAGAAATATATATGAAGATTATTTAATAATCTATTCTTTTTAATATTTCGAAAATAATGAATTCGAATCTGATTTCTCGAATTTTCTATTATTCTTGAATTAAATGAAAGGAATATTTCAAATTAATATGAGAATTAATTAATTATTCTTTGAATTTTATTAATAAGAAATTGAAATTCGCTAATCTACAAAAGAGAAATAATAATGAAATCTAAAATGAATGAGGTATATAATGATTATTGGGAATATCTATATAGAA